TGCTGGCCGATCCACCGAGCAGCCGCTGTGGAGGTTCGTGGTGGAGAGCCTGCAGAAACTTGTTCGCATGCCAGGCAGTCCTATGGTGACAGAACTCCGAGGCGACTGGAAGTTTTTCGTTGATTGCCTGGGTCTGAAAGCAACACCGACGAGCAAGGAAGTGTGCTACAAGTGCAAGTGCACCCTGGCAAGTGGCCCGATGAGTTACGGCCAATTTGGCCTTTCCGCTGCCTGGATGCGAACCAGGCGGAGCAATGTGGACTTTCTGGCCAATGTGCTTCCGGTGCTGGACTCCCCGGAAAGTTCGCCGCTTATCTGGATGCCAGGTTTTAGCATGCACATTCTTAAGCAGTGCTGGATGCACACGGCCCATCTTGGAGTTGGTCTTTTTGCTAATGGTTCGGCAATGAAAGTCTTGCTGGACCGGGAAGTGTGTGGTGCCGGCCTGACCAAAGATCAGGCTCTCCGGGCATTATTCCTTAGGTTCAAAGGCTGGCAAAAGCAAGTGAAGGTCAGGGTTGCTATGCCGCGATTCAGACACTTTCTCTTGAAATCCGACCTGGAGCAGATATTTTACCAGTCCAAGGCCCACCACAGCAGAATCATCACGTCGTTTCTGGCTGCTATCCTCTCAGAGGAAAGCAAGAAAGCACCAGCTGATCTGGAGCTCCTGAGAGCGAGTCTCTGTGTGCATCTCCTGTCGGAGCTGTACAACCGTGTGGAGCAAGGCAACAGGTTCTTGACGGAGGAGGCTTCTCTGTCAAACTTTGGAATATGATATATATATATATATATATGTATACTCGTTATATATAGTATAAAAGATATATTACATATATATATATACATATATCTATATATTATTTAAACTATACCTTTATAGATATATGCATATATATATATGATAGTGATAATGATATAATAATTATATGATAATAATGGTAATAATAATTCTGAAATAGTAATAATATATAATAAAGTACATATGCTAAATAGTATGTAATGTATAACATATGTATACATATATATATGTGTTAATATACAATAAAGCTGCATCTTAACAAATATATATATATATATATATTAAGTGCATGACACATAATATATGAATCCCCATCGATGCCGAGGAAGCCGTGGAAATCCGCAGCCTGGGCCTTCGATTCCTGGAGACCTATATGCACTGTGCAGCCACCTCCACCAACCCGCACCTGTATCAGCTGATTAATATTCTGTCTAATTCTATGTGAAAAGAGTTTTGGGTCTGTGTCTTTTTATATATTTATCTCTCTCTTTCTCTCTGTCTCTCTCCCCACATTTTTGAAGCTGGCGGTATCCATCTATTTAAAAATTTCAGTACTTCTACCCTGCCCAAGGTTTATGTGGAGCCTGAGACCGAAGCACCACATGCTGCAGCACATGGTCATGGAGCTTGCCGAGACCCGCTACGAGGATGATATATATATATATATATATATATTACTCAAGGACAATTCCTTTCATGGTGCGACTGTTTATAAGTGATAACATATCTTGTAGCTGGTAGATACATATACATATATATATATATATATATATTCCAGCGACTACCATATATATATATATATGAGTTTGTTATATGTATTTTCAGTCCAGCTAATATGCAGCTGAGGTTATAACTTCAGGTTTTTCCATACGTATGCTGAAGAGGGGGCTCTTGGAGTGGCTGTGGATATTGCCAAATCCTCGCATCGAAGCACGGTCGAGAATCAGATCCTCTCCAAGCAGTTGCTGCGACTGCAGGCTTTGATGCAAGGTCACTGACGGCACTGGCGGGCCATGCTTGCACGTGCATGAACGAGAGCTCCGGAGCAGATAGCGAGCTCGTGAAAACAGTTCTCCTGCATCCGAGACTTCCTGAAATATATATATATATATATATGTATATGTATATACATATATGTATCTATGTATATATATATATATATAGATGTAAACCCTAAACCCAAAACCCCAAACCCCTGAACCCGAAACCCTGAAGCCCTGAACCCTAAACCTTAAACCCCTGCCCGTGAATCCTAAAGCCTAAACCCCAAACCCCTCGGATGCAGTCAGTTCACTCACGGGGGGCTGCAGCAGGACTGAAGTGTCACATGCCTGCTTACATGCAAATATATGATGCTCAAGCAGTTAATTAAATTTTGGTGCCTTGAGGTTTTTCCCACTCTTACCTCTCGGCATGGCAGGGCCAACATGGATGGTGAAGATGGAGCTGCTCGGCTGGGGATCGAGAGCTGCAAAGGCGGTCAACGACCTGGAACGGCATGGCTGGGACAGGATGACAGTGTTGGTACACGGACTGCCAATTGCAGAGAAGGACCGGTTGCATTGGCTTGCCATGGGCAACTATACGCCTCACGGCAAGTGGGTGAATCGCTTCCTGACGAGAGTGACTTGCCCAACGGTGGTAGCCCTCACGGGCATGTCGAACCCAGAGAATCTGGCCAAGCACTCATATAATATATATAGATATATGAGTATAATATATGATTCTTTTTATATACATTAATATCAATATATATATATATATATAGAATATATAAATAAATAAATATAAATAAATAAATATATATATTTATATTTATACATATATATATAGTATTATTATTATTAATTATACATAATATTATACATAAATATATATATATATATATATGTTGTTTGTGACCTTGTCACGTGAAATCAAACCTTTATCAATAACTATTCAACTTTCTGACATATTCTCCGTTTTGTATTTCTTGCGGGTGGAGCTTAAGATGACAAGATTTTTGTTTCTCGGCATCTGAGGACATGCGACCGCTTCATCGAATCCGCTATGGGTTATGCACTGGAGCACAAGCTATGCGACATCGTCATGGCCCTCGACGAGCTGCTGTTGTGCTTCGGGAATTTGGTCCCATACCTCTGTCGCTAGGCTGCATATTATATATATATATAATAAATATATAAGAAACAGACAGATATATAAATATGTAAATACATATGCCATATGAACTGATTATAATTATAATAATAATGGTTCTTGTGAAGCCTATCTATATATATACATAGCAGGAGCTTTCGCCTTTAGCTGAATTAATTTATGTATATATAGATATATACATATATTTCCCTCGGAGCCTTATCCAAGATGACGACATCAAGAGAATGGAGGAGCCCAGCATGTCTCAACTGGATCGGCTCATCCAAGACATGCCACTCGTGAACCAGACCCAGGCCCGGCAACCCTACAGCTCTCTCTCTCTCTCTCTAAATAAATATATATATATATATATATATATATATGGCCTGAACCCTTCAGTCCTAAACCCTGAGCCCTGAACCTGAACACTGTACTCTCCCTGAGGTGGAGGTTTGAGCTGGCCAAAGTCTTCTTCACCAGAATTTGTGGGGCACCCACCGGGAATAAAACCCGTGCCCACGGCCTAAGGCCTACCTTCGGGTTTGCAAAGCCAGGAAAAGAAGTTCGAAAGAATGCTGGACGTTTATATATATATATATATATATTGCTTCGGATATGAATAATTTCCAAAGCATTTGGGAAATAACCTTGAAACTTATTCTAGGACTGATTTTTTTACATACTTATTGATTGATTTTTCTGATCCTTTCAGCGAATCTGCATCGGATATGAATAATCTTCAAAGCATTTGGGAAAGAACTTGCAAACGTATTCTACGACTGATTCATTTTACATACTTATTTACTGATCTTTCTGATCTTTTCAGCGAATCTGCATCGGATATGAATATTTTTAAAGCATTTCGGAAAGAACAAACAAACCTATTAACACATTTTTTGGACCATATATACTGATTGTTTGACCTGTATATCAACATATGAATATTGAGAAATACAGGGAATGACATGCATTTCCTGGATTGAATACATTTTATACATCATATATATTGACATGCATTTCATTCAACTTACATGATTGTCCAAGTCCTTGTATTTCCAGCACTTACACTAAAGGCCTTGGATTCTGAGGTCTTAGCAAACATGGTCACATTTGAGGTCTTCGGATGCTTAGGGATTTGCATCATGAGAAGCAGGACGACAGTGAGTGATCTGCGCTGTATGGGTATGCGTAAGGATGTCACATTCGCGTCCGATTGCAACGCCATGTTGGTGGAGGCTGTCATTCTCGCTGGTGTTGCTTGAATTGGTTTGACGTGTGGCCCCAATGTGTCGGCTGTTCATAGAACTGTGCCTCTGCGTACCTTCTGCTATCACTTGAAGCTTGATGAAGATCGCTGTCGGACTGCATAGAGTTGTCAATCCACATCTCTTTCATTCTTGAGAAGAAGGTGAAAACCTTATCTACTTGTTGTACGTCTCTTTCTCTGCTGTCATCTCTTTCTTTATCTGTCTGTCTCTCTCTCTCTTTTGGTGTTCGCTCTCCTTCGTCTTGTGTAACTGATAGCTGGAGCCTCATTTCTTCGCTTTGTTTTTTAATTCCCTGACGCTCAGAGCTTAAGGGGCTTGACCTCAGTCGCGCAAGTCGCTCTGACGACTTGACCTCTCTTTCGAAAGGCACTGAGGTTGTTTCCCACCCAGGGTTTTATCAGGACCACAAGGAGCGGCTTACTTTGGGTGAACGAGCACGCCTTGCAACTCTGAGCTCCATTGCCTTTTGGCCGTCCGCGCACGCACTGCTGCGGTCTTGGCCGGGCCTACTCAGTGTCGCTCGCGTAGAGGCCGGAACTGAGTCAAACAAAAACGGACCATAATTTTGACAACCACCCACAGGAAAAAGAAAAATAATCCTTAGTCTGAGAACAGTAGGGGCAACGTGTTCGAGCCGGGGCCTTCTCGGCGGCCGCCTATTTCCGGGACATACCCTGGAACAGTATCAGTTCAAGCGGGGCCCTAGTCTACGAAATCACGGTTGAGGGTTTAGGGTTTGATGTCAAAGTCATACTTTCAGATCATTGTCGAAAGCCACATTCAAAACAAGATGCTTCTGGCAAGTAGCTTCTCGACCGCAGCCTTTGCAAACGGGGAAGAGCCCCCAGACTCACTTGTGCGTTGAGGCTTTTCTGTTTCGGCATTCTTGCATTCATATAGGGTTTGCAGTACCCAAAAAGCTAAAGGTTACCTACCCTACTACTAAGGTCTACTAAAACTACGGAGTGTTCCAGTTGATGCGGTTTGCTATAATTATGGCTGTCCACCGGTTTAACAATGCGGTGAACTGCATGAAGCCACAGTGACCCTGCACCCCGAACCCTGAACCCCAAACCCTAAACCCTGAGCCCTAATACCCAACCCTAAAACCGGAGCCGTGCAGCCGGTGGTCTCTGAATCACGACGGTTTGGGACTTTAGGGTTTAGCGGTTTGGGATTTAGGCTTTAGGGCCTCGAGTTTAGGGATTACCCAAAAGCTTGCTGCCTCCACATTGGGTGGCAGCTCGCCGTCTTTCGTTCCCTGCAGCTCCTCCACAGCCTTCCCGTGTGCCACACCTTCACACTCCTTCGGGCTCTTGGGACAGGGTTTAGGGTTTAGGGTTTAGGGTAGAACTGAAGTTGAGCTATTGCACTTTGAGTCAGTGACAATGATTTTAGATTGTAGGTTAAGGGAACCTATGTCAAGCTACTAGGGTTCCTAAAACTTGAGTTCCTAAACTAAACTAAACCCTGAGCCAAGCCAGCAGGTTACATTTTCGCAACCAATTTAACCCTGGTGCTACATGGCTTGACAAGAACCCTATACCGAAGTTGGACCCCCTTAGCGAAAATTGCAATTTTTGCTGTTTCTTAAAGGGGCTATAGGAACCAAAGACCAAATTATGTTTCTAAGTACCCCTGAGAAAAACCCACTCCCTCTCAAACTCTGACCTGCAGGCGGTACCTGAAGCATCAAAAAAGTTTAGGGTTTTTATTAGGGCAACTTACTTAAAAATTGACGGGTCCGGACAATCAGTAACGTAACGGTTTCTGTTTTTCTTTGTTTTTGAGCTCCTTTTCTAGGGGCTGAGGGCACCGCATTTCAGGGTCAATGTAGTCAGGAATCTGCTCTTCGGGTGTGGGTCTCAGGGCTGTGAAACTCCCATCTCTTTTGTCTTAGGGGCTGAGTACCCTAAGGCTGATACCGCACCGCACCCGTTGGAATGATCACCGGCCGGGCCGTTCGAGGAAGAGGCATCGCAGGAACCGGTGGTGGTTGTGGCATGTTCACGTCCACGACAGGTGGAGGCGGCGGCTTCGGGACATTGGTCACCTTCACCTTGGCCGCGGCAATCTTCGCCTGGCCTGCCGCACGAGAGAATGCAGAGGCGTCTTCGGGACTCGTAAATCCCAACCTGACGCCCTCCACGGCGCTGAACGGCATGTGCCATATTGCCGAAGATGCCGGTGCTGTTGGAGCCAAGGTGGCGGAAGCTGGTGCCGTCGGAGCCGCTGTTGCTAATGTCGTTGTCGACGAACCCGGTGCCGTTGGAGCTGCTGTTGCCACTAATAAGTTGTTATGCTTATTCATCAGGCCACAGAGATATACGCAGAGCCTTGAGGCCAAAACTTCTACTGTCAACCCAGCACACCCACGGCCACACGTAAGTAAACCCACGCCTGGGCACCTACAACCGACCTACTACATGTACGTTCTTGGCGTATGAACCTTCAAACACACCCTTAGCCCGTAAACCCGAAAGCACACAATCACTAAACCTTATAAACCCTAAACCCTTAAACCCTGAACCCTTGAACCCTAAACCCTTCAACCCTTGAACCCTAAACCCTAAATCCTTAAACCCTTAAACCCTAAACCTTTCAACCCTCAAACCTAAACCCTAACCCAACAATGAAACTCGAAATCCTGGAAGGCCCTCCACTTCCGAAGCGCCCCACACTCACCGCTGAAGCCCTGAAAGGCAATACCATGAATCCCCAGCCCCTAGGGATCAAAATAGCCCGAAAGCCTTATATAGTATGGTCTTTGGGCCAAAAGCCGTGATGTATGAGTCCTTGATTCCTAGGGAGCTAGCAGCTAGCCCAAACCCGTATGGGTAGTTCTCTAAATCAGGGTCCCTGTTGCGGTCCTTCTAATAAAGGTGCCCCGCACTACACTGGGGACCTAAAAGGACCCTAGAGAACTGCCCATATCCAGGAATTCCCGACAAGAAGCCGACATAAATTCGATTTTGGGCATGAGGTGACACTGTAAAGCACCAAAGGCTTGGAAAGCCGTTTCAAACTCTCAAAGACAACAAGGGTAGATGCAAGCTAAAAGCACGATTGAGAGAAACCTCTACACTGTTCGCAAAAGCTTCAGCTGTCAACAACACCTCTTTATGCAAGAACCTCCTACCTGTCGGGTATCATGAAAAACTAAAGGTTAACCTTTGTGGTTATATAGGGATTCTATAGGGGCCTTATTACCCAAAAAGGTTAAAGCGGGACGTGGAATAAGCTGCGTCCCCAGCGAAAGGCGTGAGACGAGCTTCGCCAAAAAGGTTAAAGGTTACCTACTCTACTACCCCAGCCCCAGAGGGTCCAAGTACCCAAATAGTAGGGTTTTAGGTCCCAAAATCCATACTCTGAATGGTTTTTGGACCTTGAAACCCTACTATTTGGGTACTTGGACCCTTAGGGTACTACGGTTGATGATAAAAATCCTGCATTACCTTAAGGATCCCATCCTATGGGAATAATGGTATATTCCTTATTATGGGTAATGCAGGATTTATATCATCAACCGTAGAACCTGTTGCGTTGGAGCCCGAGGACTCCTCGAGAGCCAAGGCATAGGCGCTGGCTAAGCGCGAGGCCACGCGGCCATCAACCTGACAACATGGAGCTAGTTTAGTTATAGTTTCTAATTACTGTAGAGAGAGAGAGAGAGAGAGAGAGAGAGAGAGAGAATCCCTGTGTATAAATATCAACCCTCCACCTAAACCGCAGGATTACTGACAGCACAATAAGTAGTTGCTTGTTTAACCTCTTTCTGAATAGACCTGCTGCACGAGAGCTTCTTGTGCACATGGTTGCTCAGAGGGTGTGGCCCGATTGTAGGGCACCAGAAAAGCACACAAGAAAAAATCAGGATAGGGATATCCATATTAGCTCCCTTACAAAAGAAGCCCAATAAGGTAGGGACATCCCCATAAAAATCCTTAAGCTTATGTGCTTTTGGGGGCCCTAAGATTGTGGGTTTCAGAGTGTCGCCCCAGACGCCCAGTAGTGGCCTCACTGCCATCCGTGCCGAAGACGGTCCGCGCGCCCGCCTTGCCTTGGTGTTACCGGGTTTAGGGTTAGGGAGTTATGGCGACCCCCTGACGGACAAAGCTTGTTCACATGTTTCAAAACCAACAGCCCTCTTAAGCCCTACAGCCCCATGGATCCACCAGAATTGATACGCTTCAAAAACACAGAATTCGTTGTGCAACACTTATATTGCATAACACTGAAGAACAATACACTTCCGGAAGCCCTTCTACAACACTCATAAAGTCTGTAGAATAAGATGGCTTAATAGAGAGCCCTTGCAAGAACCTCCAAGACTCCACGGGAGCTACTTACCACTTAAGCCCTTTACACTGGCAGAACCATCATAAGATTTTTGAAAGAAAACACAGAAGCTCAGTCTTTTGCAGAACCGTTACAAGACACGTTAAATAAATACAGAAACGAAACAAAATCCTTAGATCAGATTTACGGAACCACGAGTGGTGTATTACGAGACACATTTAAATATCTAAACACGAAGCAACATACTTTAGAACCTTGTATACTCCTTACAATGAATGCGCAGATGCCCTTGAAGGAACAGTTAGGGGACCACTCAAGTATAGAAAGCGTATAGAGCAATCAAAAGCTGGACTCTAAGTAACGAAGGGAAACACGTGCAGACGTTCGTTTTACAATGGTTCCTTGAAGCAACAGATCTAACAAAGTACTCAAGTATGGTACTCCCGGACCAAGTAAGACACTTCAACTAAACAACGTACCAAAAAACTCTAAAAAAAACAAAGTTCTAGAGCCATTGCAAGCTACATGGGGCCCTGGTTGCCTATAGAAGCCTTTCTGGAACTCCTTAACGGGAACCCTTAAAAGACACCCCCTGGGTACTTCTTTGGGATCCTAGTCGCCGGTCTTCGGGGCACCGCCGCTGCTTCGCAGAGGCAGCTCCTTTGCAAACGCCAGGGCCGGATTCGCCTCCGTCAGAGCTTGTGAGGATTTATCCCTAAGGGTCCACAGGACCCAATAATTAGGTACTCGGGTTTAAGAGAATTAGAGGTTATGTAGGTGACTATTTTGGAGAGTACTTGGACCCACAGGGTGTAGGGGTTAGGGCGTTAGGGGGTTTAGGGGCTTAGGGTTGAGGGGTTTAGGGCGTAGGATTTCCTACGTCACGGTTTATGAGGGAATTCAGGGTTGATATGGGGGTTTGGGATGTGTGAGGAGGTTTTATGAAAGCGGAAAAAGAGGGACCCTTAATAAGGGCCCCTAGGTATATACCCTTAATATAGCTATTATATACTCATCATATAGCCCATTATAGGGTAGGGGTCCCCATTAAGGGTCCCTCCTTTTCCCCTTTGAGTTTAGGCTTCAAGGCTTTAGGCTTTCGGGTTTAGGTTGCGGGTAGTCAGCACGAAAGATTCGGGGCTTGGTGCGCCTGGGGTTTACGGGTTTAGGGTTTATAGGGTTTAGAGGTGTAGGGTTCAGGGTTTAGGGTTGACATTGAGGGTTTAGGGTTTAAGGTTATGTGACTACTCTCTACTAGTGTGGCTGCAAGTACCCGCAAAGGGACTTGGCCCAAACCCCAAGCCCAGCAAGCTCTTAAGACGCAGGGCGGGAAAACTTAAATCGGAAGCACCCAGTCTTAAAACCTAAACCTATACCTTCAGCTCTACAAGCTCAAAACACACCCCTGGCCGCTAGATATGCCCCAAGCCATGAAAATCCCAGGTTTCACACCTGGCCGGGCCGCGGCAGTCCACCCCAAAGAAGCCGCCAAGACCGACAGCTCCGTCCCAAGCCGTCGAAACTCGAACCCTCGAACATCAAGACCTCACCCACACTCCTACCAAAAGGCCCCCGAACTCCCCTAGAAACCAAATCCCCCCCCAAAAGCAGGCCAACCGTATGATACGCCAGAACCCTAAACCGAAATGTAGCCCATAAACCCTAAACTTGCCCTAAACCCCAAACCCGCAAGCTCTGACTACAAACTCTACATACCCCGAACCCATATCCTCGTCCCTAAACTCCGAAACCTGAAACGCTGAACCCGGGGACCCCAAACCCTAAACCCTCATCACAAACCCCTGAATCCCTGAACCCTGAGTCCCAAACCTGCATCCCCAAAATAGAGCACATAAGCAAAAATATGGATAGGGATATCCCATATAAACCCCCTTATCACGAAGCCTAATAAGGTAGGGCATTCCCCATCAAATGCTTCTGCTTATGTGCTTTTGGTGTCCCCAAACCGTAAACCCTAAACCCTAAACCCTCCCTCACCTCTGCGGTGCGGCCGTGCGCCCACGTGGCTCCGAGATCGTATGGTTCGTCTCCGACCTCGCGTTGTAAGTGCCAAAGCGCCTATACGGTTTGGGGTTGTGGTTTTAGGGGTCTACTAAAAATAGCCACAATAGTAACAATTAACAATAATCATCATATTATTATTAGTATATATATATATATATATAGATAGATATAGGGCTCATAGAGTTTCTGAGGTTTGTCGGGGTTTAGGGTTTGTAAGGTTTGGGGTTTAGGGGTTGGGCTGCCGAAAATAATGTGGACCTAGCAGGAGCCTGCCAAATTAGAACAGGGGGCTTCTCCACTAATTTCGGGGCCTTCATGCTTGGAATAGGGTTTTGGGGCCCATTATACTATAATTGTAATAAGGACCACCCCCCCCCAAAAAAAAAAAAAAATATATATATATGCTCCCATATTAGAGGCTTGAAGGATCAGATGTTGAATATGGGGGCCTTAGCTATTCCACTGGGGCTCCGAGAGGCAGAGGTCTTACCATACAGTGTTTACGGAACTAAAGCTACAACCCTTGCCTTGTTATACTCACTGGCCCAAAACCCAAGGACACAAAAATTAAAACTTTCAGAATCGACTACCTTATAAGAGCCTCAAAAGTTGAGAAGTTGAGTTTACAGCCGAAAAATATAGGATCGCAAAAGGAATCCCACTCTGATGGTCCTGCACATATGTCCGAAGATCGGAACCTCCAGAACCGAAACCTCATTCTGTGAACCTTCAAACTTTGCGAACCCTCGGGTGTAACCAGCCCGAAAGCCAACTTCTAAACTCGGAAACCTGGACGCTCATAGGGAAGTCGAAGTGTGAAAACCTGAATTCCAAACCTGCAACCTAACGCTGTAGACCCTTAAATAAACCCCAGACCATGAAGCTATAAAACCCTAAACCCCTAGACCCTAAAAGCCCTAGAGCCTAAGATACGACTCTGAAGCCCTATGACAAGTAAAGCGCGAATCAAACAAAAGTCCTTAGCCGACCTCCACCGTCCGGATGCGGCCGCCCACCCTCTGACCGGCCTCCGTGTTACGTCGCCGGGGTGAAAGACGGCGAGTTTCGAACGAAGGACCCGTCTCAGAACCCCAGCCGTACCAATGTTTTCCCGAAGCCCGAAACTCTTAACCCTTGCATGGCAGGATCCGTACCAATGAGAGGCACCTCATGGGGCCCCATGAGAACTTAACTTGAGCTCAAGATCCAGAGTTTGGCCTTGATCCTATACGGCGGCTTAAGGAAGGCCCATGGTGCAGTTTTCGGGTTTGTGGCACCGGCCGGTGCATTTCTGAAAGCCGGGACAGAACACATGTGCCAGAATATCCTTGAATATGCTAAATGTTCAATCTCACCCCACGAAGAATGCCTGAGCAATAGCTTCTTTTTCAGCAACGGTCGAATGTTATTCTTCTGCATATATAACGTCACTGCTTTCATTGCACCAAGAGTGTTGCAAAGACGTTCAACCATTCCCAAACCTTTCAACGTCCTGCGATGCAATATTGAATCGGCATGTGCTTAACCAAACTAAGGTGCCGGGGAGTTGCTCTACCATGGCTACTTCCAGCAAGAAGCCCTGTGGAAGAGTAGTGCTAATTTACTTGCTTCAAGTCTCTATGTCATTGTGGGCTTGAGATGAAGGGCATCGGGATAAGGCAATCTACGCCGTATAGAGGCTTAGCAGCTAAGATCTTCTGTTACTTCTTAAAGGAATGTCCACCGACGTTCTTAGAATTGCTCAATTTGGCTGAGCTTAGGAAATCTATGGGCGGTATCTGCCTTCCGACGATGCTGAGCCCACGATACATGCCATACCCAACACCTTATATACATCCTAAAAAAGATACCATAGACTCTAGACCCTGAGCCCGAAACCCCTACAGGCCGAATTCCGAAACCCCAATCCTTAAACCCTAAACGAAAAACCCTAAAACTCACTGGCCCAAAACCCAAAGAAATAAAAGTTGAAACTTTCAGAATCGCCTACCTTACAAGAACCACAAAAAGTTGAAAGGTGGAGTTTACAGCCAATACGAAAACCCTGAACCCGATAACAAAAGTCAAGAACGCGAAGCCCACCACTGCGCCTCCAGGATTGTCACTGCAATGCCACGTCGGGATAGGCCAAAAGCTGGCAGACAAGGTTTTGGGGTTGAGGTTTTAGGGTTTTAGGGTTGAGAGGGTTCAGGGTTTAGGGTTTCGGGTTTAGGGTTGAGCTTCCGAAGGCTGTCTCGATAGGCTTCGGTATTTTTTTTAAGGCTTCGCTGCTCCCCTTCCTACATCCTTTAGGTCCTCAACCCTAAACCCCAACAAGTTCCCATTCCTCTATTATCCTAAACCCTGAACCAGGGTAAGGGATGAGAACTGACTTCTCCAGGCACGACTCCATGGCATGACGCCTTGACGCAGGGCTCGCGGTCTAGGGCCTTACGTGTTAGAGTATAGGGTCTAAACTTTAGCTTCTTCATTAACCGGGCCCAAAAACAGTTCAAACTGTCTGAGAGTCTAAGATAGACCCAATATATGTATAGTGCCATAAAGTGTAAACCTCTCCGATTGGTTGGTTGGAGTGGCAGGGGACTTAGTAAGTAGGTCATCCGTAGAGGTATAAGTACCCTAAATGGGAGTTACCCCTATTATAACCCTACTTATAAACGGCTTACTAAAGCCCCTGCCCCTCCAAGTAGACCCTAAACCCTAGAAACCCTAAGCCCCATAGATCCCTTTAAGGAAACCTATAGATCCCTTTAAGGAGCCCTTTCAGAACCCTCAACCCTAGTCCCCTGCCCGCTCAGGGCATTACTTCTCAGGCGTTGTGGGGAGGGCTGAGGGGCTGAAGGCACAGAATAGGGCTTAGGGATTAGGGTTCAGGGTTTGGGGATGTTTAGGGTTCAGGGTTCAGTGTTTTTTTGTTTTTTCAGTGTTTAGGGTTTATGGTTTACACACCCGGTGACCTAGTAGACCCTCAAGCTTAACCGCCAGAACCCTAAATCCTAAGCCTTAAACCCTTACCCGAAATTTTACACCTGAGCCCTAAACCCTAGACGTCAAGCTTGAGGGCTGCATCGGGCCCGTGTTCGTTCTGAACAAGACGACTTGAAGAGGCGGGTCAAGAAGGCAAAGCAGGAACCTGCTTAAGAAGCCCTGGTTCCATAGACCAAAAAAATATTAGAAGCAAGAGCGCTAATACAGACCCAAGGTTTCGGTTACTTAATCAGGTTCCTATATTAGTAGCGTAAGGCGTTTCTGTAAAGGAACAAGATGCAGACAGGACATGGAACAGATTGTGCTTGTGTTGGGGATGAATCAAACTGCTAGGACGATGAGCAGATGTTGAAACCTCTCAGGCAAAGTCCTCCAAAGGGTCCATGTCCCCAAATAGATACACTTTGGCCCCAAAGTACCTATATAGGAGCTACTTTAAGGCCAAAGTATATACTGCTTGGGTACATGGACCCTTAGCGTACTCGACGCCCCCTAAAAGGAGGAGCAGGAGTTTAAGCAAAAGCCAGAATCGCAACTCCCAAGTTTGTGAGTCCCACAATGCCTACTCGTCGGGTATCATGGGGAACTAAAGGTTTACCGTTTTGGCTATATAGGGGTTTTCTAGGGGCTATACCAGCTAACCAAAAAAGGTCAAAGGTTACCTACTCTACTACTAGGAATGTATATCGCCGCTACTTGGCAACCTTTGGGTTCAGCAGCCAAAAGCCCGGGACTCCGCCGAACTCCAGCGCAAGCCTAAACAAGCCTTCAGCAAACCGTGTCAACAGCAGTACTTTTTAGGGGTTAAATAATTAACAATACTACTTTTTGGTTTTGTTGGGCGTAGTTTTTGTATAAATATACCCCAAAATCCTATTCTAATTACTAAGGCCCCTGCAGTACTTCACTACAACATAGACGCTGAAGATAGAAGCAGCCAGAATGGAATCCTTGAGCCCTAAGCCCTAAACCTAAAACCCTAAACTCCAAGGATCAAAGGAGGGACCCTTAATAAGGACCCCTAGGTATATACCCTTAATATAGCTATTATATACCCATTATATAGCCCATTATACAGTAGGTGTGCCCATTAAGGGTCCTTCCTTTTCCCCTTTGATAAACCCTAAACCCTCAAAGACTCAAAGCTGCAAACCATAGCAGAGGGCATCCCAAGACCTGTATACGCCTGGATATTTGAAGAAACCCAGCGACAACTCTTGTTCTATTGAGAATGACTGGGGATCTGCTAAATTTTGACTTAGGGAAATGGGGGTTTCCGAAAATAGGGGACCCTAATCGAGTACCCTAAATAGTAGGACCCTAATCATGAGGACACCAAAATCAGGTACCCCCTATTGTCGGAAACTCCCAAATGTAGCTACCTACTTATACGCTTCGTCCTCAAGCATCGACTCCCCTATTCGCCAAAAAACATCAACAAAAAGCGATTCGATCTGGAGGCCTGTGGCCAAGCCGGCAGCACCAGCGCCCACGATGGCCACATGCCGTTGAGATGAGGGGATGCCTTCACTTAACATGTGGGCTTGGCTTGCATTAAACGGATTTGCAAGAAACTGTGAGTATTTGATGAATTTTCCAAGGCAACTTATTGGTGAGATTTCGTAAAGTTCGGGTGCGGATGGGCTCCTTGGAATAAGGATCGGATTATTTAGTGTATGCATGAGAGGTTCCCTGGTTTCGCAAAAACTTCAGTTGTGTCTCTGGATGCGCAGGGCTTGAGTTGTTGGACTCGGTCTTGCTTGGACGTTGAAACGGGTATGGGTTGAAGACTTCAAAGCTTTCTGGCCATAGGTTTGGTGCCGAAAGATGCAGGGTAATTGATAGATGGATCTTAATGCTTCGACTACGGCTTGAGCAGGAACATATAGCATGTTGTAGTATAGCTATAGCTTAACCGTCAATACTGAAGATTCAAACATATACTACCGTACATGGTGCAGTTCAGCTAGTGAGCTTACTTCATCGTGTTGGGTGCAAAGGACTCCACACGAGACATAGAGAGAGAGAGAGAGAGAGAGAGAGAGAGGGAGAGATGGAGAGATGGAGAGAGGCAGGCAGCGGACAGACAGCGAGAGATGCGATGCTCGAAGGCTGTTCACGACTGGCGTCTGGAACAGTGCGCACAACCGAAAAGCACCTCCGCTTCAAAAAAAGCTCGCACAGCAGAAAGAAAGCAGCTCCACTGGGAGTGGGTGCTGTGTAGAGCTTGGTGTCAAGACGTCTGTTGTCACTACAATTACCAGCTTACGACTATTGCTGCGTGTATTGCCACTGTACCAGCATGACCATTGCCACTATCAGCTTTGTGCCCGTAATCACTGTCACTACTTCCCCGCCACTACAAGACACCAGATAATGACTCCGATCATCACCCAGGCTCAAACACGTGACAAACCTCGCACGAAGTACTATGGCCGCAGCCCAAGGAAACAGCAATATTAATCAGTTTGGAATACAGGGAACTCCAGAAAGTTGGAATATGGTTTCAGGGTAGGAGACCCCTATAAATTTACCATAAAGGGTTTAGGATAATCATATTCCAACTTTCTGGCTTTTACTTTATAGGGTCTGGGATCCAGGGTTGGGGTGCAAAAATATTCGCTTTAAGGATGTATCGGGCTTAGGGTTCCTGCTTCCGGACAATATTTATAGGATCCTTAAGGGAGGGTGGTTCAAGGGGGGAGGGTATAAGGACTCCTTAGGGGACTGTAAGGGAACCTTAGGGAGTACTAGGGAGAATTAGGGATCACTAGGCTATATACCCCCCTTGGACCCCCCTCCCTTAAGGATACTACAAAATATCAGCGGTCCAATGCCCCTTCGTCAAAAGAACGCACGACACCAAAACCCGAAACGACAGATCGATTCCACCCAGACCTGGACAATTTACTTATTCGGGGGCTCACAATCCGTATGCATGACATAGACAGTGACCGTATCAATGGCAGTACATGACCGTCGAAACACGCAGATGCATCACAACCACAATTTGGGGCATAACCATATTATCATAATCCTGGGCTGCACCTGCCTTCCCTGTGGCCTGATATGCTCAATCAAACCCTTAGTTCTCCATCAACAGTAACAAAAACACCACCAACAGCACTCTGAAGACATAAACACTGAAGCCTTATAAACCCTCCAGCACCTGCACCGCATGCCGCTCGCCGCGGCAGCTTGACGGCACGGCACAGCTCATCCGCCACAAGAGGCGCCGGCAGCGGCATCCGGGTAAGCATTTAGTCTTTAATTTTGAGATCGATTTGAGGTACCCTATGGTAAAGAATTACACAAGGAATATGGAGCCATTCTGTTGGCCCTCTCAATCCTATAAAAACCCAGCTTCCATTCACTTCAAACTGTTCCCATTGATTCTCCATCATGGAGGATAATACTGGTAATTGTTTAGGCCCCCATAGTACCCTTCCTGCCAAGTTGCCATCTGGGCTTTGCGCTTAGAGATGGCTGCTTAGGCCAACAGCTGCGGAACAGAAGCCAAAAGATAACAAAACTGGATCTGGCCTAACTTACTGATGGTTAGTAGGCAATATGGGAATATAATCCCTATGTGATCCTCATAGAATACACACTCTCTCTCTCTCTCTTTCTTTTTCTCTCTCTCTCTCTCTCTCTCTCTCTCTCTCATATTACCAACCCCCAGCAAGCCTAAGACCATCTAGAACTCCAGAGTTGATCTCCTGAATCCACAAGTAAGGACTGCACACATCCCGCTACTAGGATACCCAGTAACCTAAGAACAAAAAGGCCTCTCATTTTGGTATTGGGTAACTTTATAAGGAACCTAGGACTACAAAAAGGGAATAAGGGTACTACTGGGCCTCCTAGGCTATGAACTTTTCCTGCGCTTGCATAGCGGAAGATTGGAGTTCGGAGCGCTGATTGGACCCCTTTGGGGTAAGAGCCTTCCTTGTTTCTCCGGTAGATGACCAGCAATTACTGGGGACCCCTTTGGGGTAAGAGCCTTCCTGGTTTCTCCAGCAGATGACCACCAATTACTGGTGATCAGTGGGGAATACAAACCCGCAGAATCTCCATGTACTAAACTCCCAGATTCCCAAATCACTCACCCGCAGTAGGCGATTTAGTGAAACTTACAAATATGCCCCTGTAATGGTTCCTATATTGATTCCCCACTCTCGCTTAAGCACCAGCAGTTAAAACCTAAAAACCTCCAGACTCCCAAGGCTTTCAGAGCCGGCCGAGGCGGTGTCGTCCCGGTCCAAGAAGCTTAAGCTTGGAAGGTCTGCGACGAAACGATCTTCGACCTCGAGAACCCGAAGACTTACTGGAGGTCAGTAAGGAACACGGGAATCGAGTCCATACCTATAGTCTCCATTGTAGTTACTTTTTTTGGTTGGCCAATGTTATGGTTAGGATCCTATAATAGAGTTTTTGGTTCACCAAATAAAGGAACTACAGAGGAGACTATAGGAATATGACCCGTAGATAACCCTACATAGTGTATTCCCCTGCCGACTGAGTTCTGTGGTTGCCCTTCTTGCGGGCATCGTATGCTGTGAACACCCACTCACAGAGATCAACTTACTACCCCAATAAGCCACAGAAAAAAGTAAACTTTCGGATTCCTACTAAACTATAAGAACCCACAAAGTTTAAAGGTTAAGTATTGGGGATCAAATCAAACAGAGATCGAAAGATGTCCCTAAACCCTAAATCGGCTCAAAGGGATCAAGGGATCTGCTAAGAAGGAAACCCTAAACCCTAAATCGGCTCAAAGAGGTCAAAAGATCTGCTAAGAAGGAAACCCTAAACCCTAAACCCTAAATCGGCTCAAAGCGGTCAAAAGATCTGCTAAAAAGGAAACCCTACAGTACACCCTAAACCCTAAATCGGCTCAAAGAGATCAAAAGCCCTAAACCCCAAATCACCTCAAAGAGATGAAAAGATATGCTAAGAAGGCTCCAGGATCTTCGTCGGGGTGTATCCATCGATCTGTCACGGTCTCTTTGACACTCGGGTTGCACAAGAGCACCAGAGTCGACCTTCAATCCCCCCCAGGGTTCAGGGTTTAGGGATTAGGGTTTAGGGTGTAAGGGTTTAGGGTGTAAGGGTTTAGGGTTTAGGGATGAACCTGCTATAGGAAAATTAGAATAGGGCTTTGGGGCCCAATGTATACTATAAATATAATAATAAGGAACCCCCAAAATAGTATTGGTGATTACTGCGCTCCCTATAAAAGCACCCCCCATAGAAATGAAAACAAAGTTGTACACTTGTAAACCCAAAGGGTCCAAGTATCATCATGGCACATACTTAGACCCCCAAAATGCCCTATAAGTATATACCAGGATGATACTGGCCCAAAACCGAAGGAAATAAAAGTTGAAACTTTCAGAATCGACTACCTCATAAGAACCCCAAAAGTTGAAAAGTTGAGTTTACAGCCAATAAGTCTGGGCCCTTTTTTAAAAGCGTAAAAAACCCAGCGCGCGCGAAAAGGAAGAGAAGAGATTTCCTGTTGGAAGGAGCCTAGGAGCACCTGACGGAAGTCTGAGAGAGAGAGAGGGTTTAGGGTTTAGGGTTTAGGGTTTTTGGGTTTAGGGTTTTTGGGTTTAGGGTTTAGGGTTTAGGGTTTTTGGGTTTAGGGTTTAGGGTTTAGGGTTTAGGGACTGAAGAGAGGGAGAGAGACTTAGTTCCCGAGTTTATAAGCCCAAAAAAGTTTAAACTTTCAGTTTTAAGAGGGTGGTTTCATTATCCGAAAAAGTTTAAAGTTTATAAACTCAGCTACTAAGGAGAGAAAGAGAGGCAGAGAGCACGGGGGAGGACAGAAAGAGTACTCTTCCGATTGACTGCCCATCCCAGAATTACGGCAAATACAGACCTCTAGGACGTCGCCTGTTGTTTAAAACGGTCGAAGTGCTCTACAGCTGGTTCCGAGTCGCAGCGTAGCATAGCCCACGGCAAGGAGAACCGGTTTGAAGATCAAGTCTTGCAAGGTGCTCATCGCGGTGCTCTCAAGCCACCTGTGCTGCTTCGAGCTCTGAAGCTTCCAAGATCTCTACTGCCGGGAAACCAAAAGAACGGTTCGCGATTCGTCCCTGAATTTCTTTTCGGAAGGTCCACTTGGCCGCATCTGCCGCGCTTACATTCGCGAGGAAGGTGAGGGTGTAGAGAACGGAAAAGCCAGCGATCACCAGCCATATGAGCCAGAAGAGTCTTTGCCTCCAGCGCCACCGAGCTAACTGCCTCGGCAACAGGGTGATAGGTAACAGAAGAGGAGAACCCTACATTGACATGCATCCCCACTGCGCTGCTACTTCAACAACCACTCCTACTTCTCAAACCGCTGACGTTCCTCCTGATCTTGAGGCCTCGAGGTACTCTCTTGTCATCCAAGATTGACTTTGCACTGTTCTGCCTCCACTTGTTCTCTGCAACAGCTCCCGAATCCAAGGCGCTGCACCTTACACACTTCCTCTGAACCCTAACGCACAACTTTCGACCGTATGGGTAGGCCCCTCATAGACATCCCATCTCAAGTCACTTGCCTGGACTTCATCTTGGGCGTCCAGACATCTCGGACAAGCACGCGCCGTCGCTGGATCAAGGCCAGTAGCACCTTTGTTCTAATTAAGCGACTGCTCCATACGTAGGGCACAAACGTAAGACTGCTACTATCACTACTTAGATGTTGAAGATGATGTCCTAGTAGCTCTGTTGCACGGGGGTCGAAAAGCACGAATGCGCTGTAGAGCTTCCGTTTGGGATGGGCTATCCGCTTCCACAGTAACGGGACTACAGCCGTGGCCACTGTCTAAGACTGAGATTTAGTCGAACTTGTAAGCTTGGGGGTTGAAGGACATAATAAAACTAGAAATCCAAACCCAAACAATTCTCAACCCCAATAGAAGTAGTCGTCGTAATTAATCGCAATATAAAAAATAACGGTGATAGCGAGACGTACTTGTAACAATAGCGATCATAATCAGAGTAATAAGCTGACGCAGACCAGCGGCGATCAGCACGTCCCCCGCACAGGCAGAGAGAAAACCGACAACGGTTGCAGTCAGCAACTGCTCCTCCAGGGTTTGTGGTGCTGCGCACTCCTCATCCTCAGAGAAGGACTGCCATCATTGGCTAGGATGCCCAGTAACCAGAAATAAAACGGGCTCCCTTTTTGGTGTTGAGTACTTTAATAAGGAACCTAGGTCTACAAAAAGGGAATAAGGGTATTACTGGGCATCCTAGTTGGGTTGTCATATGTACTTGGGGTGATTTCCCAAAGTTAGGGGTACCATTTTGGGTGTCTTTATAGTAAGGACAAAAGTATTTTGGGGTCTATATTGGGTCCCCCGTAGAAGGGAAACTATCAGTTAGGAAAAAGAATCACAAAACCAGAATGCAGCACAGAGCTGCTATTCAGCGGGATCATCACAGCCATCTCAGTCGGGTACGTAGTCTAAGAGAAACCAAGTCTCCAATGACGGGTCTTATTTGTTGCCCAAGTTTGCATTGTACAAGGCTCTTTCATGAAGGAATGCATACTGCACATGCCCCGGACTCGAATTTTTGTTTAGGCTGTACTTCACTTTCTCGGCTTGCTTCCAGTGCTTGCTGTTTGGTTTTAGGCGGGAATGTGGTGCAAACAAGAATCGAGAATCAATTCCGATGTTACGAGTTTCGTCGATTCCCTAGATGTTTCTTGCATAAGCTCAGCTATACAGGAATTCCTATGACGAGAATCGAAAGGGAATTCTCATTTGATTAGGGATTTCCGTTGTCCAACAAAACAGCCCCTACCAGCAACGTTCCCTTCAGAATCAATTCTCCCTGTGGAGTCTTTGGTGGAGCCCACGTCATTGATCATATGGGTTGCCAGGGGCAAGGCATTGAAGCTGATAGTTACCCTAAACTGTAAACCCGTATAGCCATGCATTTGCCTGCAAGGGTCGGAGTCTGGCGATTGTGCAGTGCTAGTGAAGAACAAGGCATTGGTGAAGGCCGCACTCACCTGAGCTACGGATACTTAGGTTGAGGGTCTAATCTCCTAGTATCCTCTGATAACCCCTATACTACTCCCCTATATAATCCCCTTCATAACCCCCCCCCCCCCCCCGCCTTACGACTATATTGCATATGCAGGGCGTACAGGGGGACTTACTGAGAAGTATGCAGAACTTTCGCGAAGAGCTCACTGAGTGATCCGAACCATCATTCCAAGGTGGTTCGCTTTGCAAGGGCGGCCAGCACGGATGCCCCCAACTAGTTGCAAGGCTTGTGAATTACTGTACTGGGTCTTTGCTAAGGAACTTAAGTTAAGTTACTATGATGGGTATGTAGAGCACATAGTCGGGTTTTCATAGTATGGTAACTTGAATTAAGTTCCTTAACAAAGACCCTGAGACATGCTCACACCAAGCCCGAAAGTTTCAGCGTGAAACCTCCAAACCTTGAAGACCCTGTGTGCTGCACTCAGCATGCTTTCCAGCCACCAGCTTCAGAACAATCAGTGCAACTCGCACAGTGTGGGACCTCAGGGATCAGGGTAGTTGACAAGCTGGTTTGCTATTGTACAGTACCTCTTGCGTCTGCAAATTACGATGACTGTCATCAGTACTATGAACACTGTTCGACACTTCGCACCATCGTCAGACCTTCGCCCACGACTAGCTGTGACTACCTCGACTCCAGGCAACCTAGAGTCCATGCGAAGACAGTGCACAAAGAGTCCACTGCATTTCGGAAACCTGAAAGGCAAGACTGATCCTGGAATTTGAAGTAACCAGGGAGAAAAATGTATAGACTTTTATTTCATAATGGTTCCTTTAAGGAACAGGTACCAAAAAAAGTAGTCAAGTATGGTACTCCAAACCCAGGTTTTGGCGGGGAGCCTGAAGAGGCTCCTCAGCGACGCAGTGAGCCAGGGATGCATACAGGGAAGAAGTATGATCACGCGCCTCACATGCTGTTGGTTAGAGCTCCGCGTGATGGCTTTCACCACGTGCCGGAGACTTCTGGGTGAAGGCCACGGGTCAGTTCAGGTGGTTTGGGGTTCAGTGCCCGAGTTCAGCGTCAAAGGGTCCAAAGTACTGTTATGGGAGTATCCCCCAAATCATAATAGTAATTCCTAATATAGAAACCCTACGTTCTACTACAAAGGTACTTGTCGGGTATCATGGGGAACTAAAGATTAGCCTTGTTGGTTATATAGGGATTATATAGGGACTATACTACCCCAAAAAGGTTAAAGGTTACCTACCCTTCTGCTAGGATTGGGGTGATTTGTACCATCTTGGGTGTCCCTATAACAAGGACTATAGAATTTTGGAGTCTACATTGGGGTCCCCCCTCTTTTAAGGTTAAAGGTTACCTACCCTTCCGCTAGGTCAGGGTCAAGCGCCTCGGATTTGGCACCCAGAAACCCCGGAACTGACTTGCTTGAGCTTGTACTGTCTCTATGGCAGAGCTTGCGTGGTCCCTTGAGCTGTAATCATCCCAATGTTCTCATGAATCTTTCATGCATGACTGCACTAAAACATTTTAAAACACCTACAGTTGCCGTAGTTGCCCTTGAGAACAGACTCACATCGTGGGGAGTCATCGCCCTGACTACACTCACTGGAATTGCTCGAGAGCCTGTTCAACAGCGTGACTGTTGCATGTCTGCATGGCTTGCAAGCCCAAGCCCTTGGAAGCACCTGAGCCATGAGCCATGCAGGAACCTCTCCACAGTCTGGACGCCGTGATAGTGAACGTTCCAGGTGTCCATGGCGCTAACCACAGAATTAGTCGTCTTGGTCCGTGTCACATCGCCTCCTCCAGGGCTCAAACCCCTCAGCCAAAGAGTAATCACTTGCCCTGAACTAAATGTGGCCCTGTTGACAGAATGCCTCCTTGTCGGGTATCATGGGGGACTAAAGGTTAACCTTCTTGGTTGTATAGGGATTATACAGGGACTATACTACCCAAAAAAGTTAAAGGTTCCCTACGCAACTACTAGGAATGCCCTCTTCCACTATCACTTCTGCTGCTCCCTCCTCATCACCATCTAGTTACCCACCGCCACCGCCATCACGAGTCAGCAGCACTGGCACGAACAGCGGCAGTAGCAGCACGATCCGTTGCAGCAGCAACAGCACGCAACAGCCAACAGCCAACAGCCAACGGCCAACAGCCAACAGCAACAGCAAGAGCAACAGCAACAACAGCAACAGCAACACCAACTGCAGCAACAGCAGCAACAGCAGCAGCAGCAGCAGCAGCAGCAGCAACGGCAGCAACAACAGCAGCAACAACAGCAGCAGCAACAACAACACCAATACCACCAACATCACCAAGAACACCAAGAGCACCAAGAACACCAAGAGCACCAAGAACACCAGGAACACGAAGACCACCTAGAATAGCAAGACCACCAAGAACACCAAGAACACCAAGACCACCACCACCACCACCAGCAACAGCAGCAGCAGCACCCGCAGCAGCAGCCGCAGCAGCAGCAGCAGCAGCAGCAGCAGCAGCAGCAGCAGCCGCAGCAGCCGCAGCAGCAGCAGCAGCAGCAGCAGCAGCAGCAGCAGCAGCAGCAGCAACTGCAACAACAGCAACCACGACGACGACGACGATGGCGACAACAGCAACAGCAACAGTAACAGCAACAACGACGACCAGCACCAGCACCGCCCCTGCCACCGCCACCAGCCAGCCCTTCCGCCACCACAGCAGCACGGCAACTCCTGCACTCTGCCACTGAGGAATGGACTATGGGGATTAGTACTGGGAAATATCGGGACTACGGGGGTCCATTCCCCAATTCCCTGCTAAGCACCATCTAGGCATTCATGTCTTCAGTACCCAGAAGCCTCTGGTGCTGGGTCGCCGAAGCTTCTTCTCTCCGCTGGACGCCTGAGAAACCGGTGAGAACGCTGTGGAATCTGTACTTTACGACAACATGCACCGAGTTCCTGGTGAAGGGCCAAATGCCAGAAGAGAATACTTCCTAATCCTCAAGCTGCATAACTGAACAGCCATAAGAAACGGCTTCGTACCTGCACTAAAAAAGCCTGACAACAAGAGGCCGGGAAGCCATTACCGTTCGGATGCTCTGCCGGCAGGCGCCGGTGCGGTAAGCATGGATCCTCAGGATCATCAGAGGAGAGCAGAACTCAGGGATCATGGTGTGAGGGCTGGAACGGTTCCAGCGTCAAAATTTCTACGGAGACTCGTAAACAAAGTAATTGATTAGAGGGCAGTAGGTTCTGCAGATTCCTTTTCCAATGCTCATCCAGGCTCGAAGTGATGCAACGGTTCACCATGGCCATCTTAACATCCAGCAGCTCCGAGACGGAATCGGTTGCCTGCACCTCGAACATGGTGCTCAGCAACCACCTTGGCCGACTTCTGAACCCCTCCTAAAAGTTAAACTTTTACTTATTATAGTTCATGTAGAAACCCAAAACTTAAAGTAGAAGAACACCAAGCCACACCGCACCATCCAAAGTTTTCATGGCACAGGCCCTGCAACGAGCACACCGCAACAAGCGGCAGCAGTGGCGGTTCGCAGCTCCCCGAGCCTGGTGCTGCACCTAAGATGCCCAGTAACCTAGGAATAAAAGGGCTCCCTTCTTGGGATTGGGTAACTCAATAAGGAACCTAAGACTACAAAAAGGGAATAAGGGTGCTACTGAGCATCCTAGGCGCTTCTTCGGCTTCTTCGGCCTCAAAACCACCACGTTGGACCTCGCTACGGCTCACCAGCAGCGCCTCCGCCACCTCCTCCGGGGGCAGGTCTTGCGCCGTCCGGCAGTCACGATGCATGGCCCAGATCATGGCACCGGCAAAGAAGCTGATGGAGACCTTAGCTGCTGAGTTCATAGGCCCCCAAGAAATGTAGCTGTATAGTGGGTAATTTTATCCCAGAAAGTGTAAAGTGTATCCACTCAACGACCAAGAGACAAAGGTGACGATGGTTGCCACATAGTGCAACCACTGGGCAGTGCCTAGATTTTGGAGGCCATCAACTGACAACACCTCCGAGGCTGTAGAGCACTGCAGCACCAGCCGGACGGCCTCCAGCACAGCTCCGAAAATCGTGAGGTGGCTTGTGAGGCAAACCTTAGTTGCCGAGTTTATAAGCCCAAAAAGTTTAAACTTTCAGTTTAAAGAGGGTTTCATTATCCGAAAAAGTTTAAAGTGTATAAACTCAGCTACTAAGAAACAAACTCCTCCGCATGCTCGGGGCGGAAGGAGCGCCGGACGCCATCGTCGACCCAGTTTTCGCCTTCCGGGTCCCACCACTTGCCTTGGCTGACTTCTGAACCCCTCCTAAAAGTTAAACTTTTAGCGCCTCTTTATTATATAGTTCATATATAGAAGCCCAAAAAGTTAAAGTCTAAAGAGCCAAGCAGAAGAACGCCAAGTTGCAGCGGGCTCGCTGGCTCCGAAGTTCCTGGGAGCCTTGAAACCTGAGCTCCAGTGGTTGGACCAAGTCCTCCAGAAACAGACGCTGGCCCAAGACCGTGCGGAAGTTCATGCTTACAGCAGGAGAGGCCAGTAAGCCGGTACCGTTGAGCACCATGGACCTGAACGACACTTTGGAGAAGCGTAGAGTTCAGATGGGTTCAGGGTTTAGCGTTCACAGGATCAGGGCTTATAACTAGAGCCGCATTAATTTACATATGTCACTTCAGACCGATTACTTAAGAGCACACAACTTCTTCAGGTGCAACTGTTCCAAGCAGCCGCCGAGGGGCATGTTGCGCGAGAAGCCCACTGTCAAGACAACAAGCGAACTGTGGGCCTGCACAGCGGCCACTACCACAAGAAGCCGTATGGGGGTTTTCCCAAATTAGGGATACCTTTTTGGGGTCCCCAAAATAAGGATTATAGTATTTTGGGGCCTATTGTATATTGGGCCCCCTTATGTTGAGAAACTCCCATATCATCATTCTCACGATCACGGCCAACACGAAAACCAGCGAAATGATTCTGCAAGGACATGTGCTTACTGGTGGTAAGCGGGGACTATATAGGGATTATTATGTAGTGCTTATATGGGGGGATACAGGGGGGCATATTCCCACATTCCTGTTGACCACCAATATACGTTTATGCAGTATACATTCGACAGAAGCTAAATCTAACCATTACACACCCCCTCCCTGCAATGGGCCGATTTTTCCTTGGTGGTTGAACCTGTTGAGAGATTTTCCTTAGACAAAATACTATGTTACTTTTCCAAAAATGAGGGTTTTATTTTCATCATACTGAGTGCCATAGCATCCCTAAACCCTAAACCCTAAATCCTAAACCCTAAACCATCCCCAAACAAGATACTACTCAACTGTTTCTTGAAGATGCTGTACTCAAATGGGTGGGTGTCAAAATCAGGGTCCCTCTTCGGGTCCTTAGTATAATACGGCACCTAATATTTAGGGTACCCAATAAGGGGCCATAATTTTGACAACCACCCATATCGGAAGGCTTCATCTTCCGGGCCTCTGGGGACGGGATAGCAGGCACTTGCAGACTTACCCTGCTGGACTCAGGGCGTGACGTGTCCATATATCATTTGTCTTGTACCCAGTTTTATCGATCTTCCCATAGTTGCTGAGTTCCTAAGCCCCCAAAAGTGTACACTTTCAGCTTTAAAGTGGGGAAAATTATCCCAAAAAGTGTAAAGTGTATCCGCTCAGCTACTAAGCAAAAACAAGAATGTGCACGCCTGCGCTGTGTCCTGTGCGAGCTGCGAAGCCTGCGCCAGGACCTCTCAGGCTTCCCCACCCTAAGTAAACGCGAAGTGGGTTTACTTGAAGGATCATGAGACTTAGTAACTAAGGTTATTATTAAGGTAACCATACTTATAATTGCTAATAACCCAAATCAAGGTACTTATAACCTAACTTACTAAGTCCCCTGATCCTTCAAGTAGGGTTTGGGGATTAGAGTTTAGGGTTGAGGGTAGCAACAGACGCATATGAGGGGGTGAGAAGCTGCCCCGAAGCATCCCTTCACAATGTTGGTCTGGAGGTGTTTCCCGCTGGATCCAAAAACCTACCGTTTTCAGGGTCAGACCCTCGAATTAAGGGGTCATAACCTACTATTTTGTGGGGGTTTGGAGTCACAGGTTGCTCTTATCTGCTTTTGCGCCACCGAGGCTGCGGACCTCTGGCGGTAAGACCACGCTTAGCTGCCCAGCATCCAGAGTTAGAGGTCCTCGGACAACTCAAAATGTCAACCCTAAACCCTAAACCAACCCTAAACCCTAAACCCTAAACCCAAAATGTCAACCCTAAACCCTAAACCACCTATAAGCGCATGAGTGGGGGCTCTGGGGGTAATGTACCAGGACCCTTCTTCTAACTTCAATAGGGGTATTTGGTCCCGAACAATAGGTAATATTACTGTATATTAATGGTAGTTTCCCAAAACAAGGGGACCCCCCGATATAGACCCCAAAACACTATAGTTCTTAATATGGGGACCCCTAAACAGGTACCCCTAACATTGGGAAAACCCTATGGGTAATCATCCCTTTAAGTCATTATATAAGCTCAGCTTCCATTTCTTTCTCCATTTGCTGTTCCAATTGATTCTCCATGATTGGGGTATAATATCCCTATTCTGGGTTGGCCTTTCAACACCCTGAAAAATATTTATATATAGGGTCCCTTATGAACCCAAATAAAGGAAATAAAAAAAGTCCCACAATCCTACCTGCCTAGTATTTTCCCCTGTGAAGGGACCCAGGGCTTCCATTTCATTTTCCGTTTGATTCTCCATTAACCATTGGAGATAATCATTAAACCTTAAAACCTAAACCCAAAATTTTGGGAAACCCACCGCAGACTCAGACTGGAAAACTGAGCTCTGTACTTGAAGGATCATGGGACTTAGTAACTAGGGTTACAACTCAGGCAACCATACTTGTAATTACGTATAGCCCCGGTTGAGGTACTTATAACCTAACTTACTAAGTCCCCTGATCCTTCCAAGTAGACCCTAAACCTTAAACCCTATAGATCCCTTTAAGGAACCCTGTATAGATCCCTTCAAGGAGCCCTTTAAGGAACCTAAGGATGATCCCTAGACCCTAAACCCTAAACCCTATAGATCCCTTTAAGGAGCCCTTATGATCCCAAGCGGCTGCTGGAGCTTGGGGCCAAGGCCCATGCATGGACTGAAGCAGCTGGAGACTGCCAAGTAACATTCCCAAGAACTCCTTGCACTTTGCAGAGGAGGCTTGTTGAGGGTTGAGGGTTTAGGGTTTGGGGGTTTAAGGGTTTAAGGGTTTAGGGGTTTAGGGTTTTAATGGTTTAGGGTTTATATAGGGGTTTAAGGGTTTAGGAGTTTAGGGGTTTACGGGTTTAGGGTTTAGGGGTGTAGGGGTTTAAGGGTTTAGGGTTGAGGGTCTAGGGTTTAGGATGTGAGAGGATGCTAGGGTTCATGTCTTGGATGTGTCTGTGCAGAACATGGCCTTTGCCAACTATTGGGGAAAATCTGGGCTTTTGAGTAACGAGGGAGAAAAAGGTATAAACTTGCATTTCATAATGGTTCCTTTAAGGTTAAAGTATGGTACTCCACAGCCCAGTAATTATTAAGCCTTGAACCCTAAACCCCCCCTAAGCTTGGGAAAGCCCCAAATATGGATGTTATGCTCTGAGCATGAGCCTCCTGACGCGGCGCCATCCAAGTCAGAGACGTTCAGGCCCAGAGTGGCTATCACCTGCTTCCCAAAGGGTCCAAGTATCATCATGGGACATACTTAGACCCCCGAAATGCCCTATAAGTATATACCAGGATGATACTTGGACCCTTTGGGCTTATGCAAAACTGAGAGGCAAAAAATCATCAGCCCCATATGACAAAGAACAAACCCCAAAGGGTCCAAGTATCATCCTGGTATATACTCATTGGGCATTTTGGGGGTCTAAGTATGTCCCATGATGATACTTGGACCCTTTGGGAACTACTCTCCCCCCCATGAACCTCGAATTCTCCAGCACGGAGACAGCACCACTGAGCACAGCAACAAGTAAGTGTGCTTCGGCGTGCTGAGGGCACTGATAACCCATCATGCCATGAGCCACAGTCAATACTCCTTATACAGCTAATGGACTCCATACGTTAAGTGAACATATTAGGGAATATAATAAACTACGAAGGACAGTCTTATGTCCACCCTCAAGGGTCCCCTTGCTATCCGCAGTATTGACCGTAGAAACATGATGCCTCCAACGCAGCGCTTTGCTCTGCTTCCTCGACGGCATCGAGGGCATCCTCGAAGGAGGGCTTCCCAAATTAGGGGTACCTTTTCGGGGGTTCCCATAGTAAGGCCTATAGTATTTTGGGGTCGATATTGGGTTCCCCCTATTTTGGGAAACTACCATGTGATGGCATAGCATGCGAGCAGGGGCAGGGCCCCAAGAAGCTATCTAATGAAAAGCTCAGGAGAACCCAGAGAGGTTCTCCTGAAGAATTGGATACGACTAAGGGGAAGGGCCTACTCGCAATTCTGAGACACTTATGCATTCCGTGTTTTACTTGAGTTAAAGCTCGCCATCTCCGACCATCCTTTTTTATCAACTTTTTGGGCAAGGTGAAGGTGTGGATAAGGTGTTGATGGGGTTTGTGCTGCAAACTAACCCTAAACCCTTAATATACAATCCTGAAGCGCTGTCTGGATCTTCCCCAAACTTCTCATGGCATATGGGTGGTTGTCAAAATTATGGTCCCTTTTTGGTTTAGGGTTTAGGGTTTAGGAAATATTAGGTGCCGTATAATAAGGACCCAGAAAGGGACCCTAATTTTGATAACCACTCATATACGAAATCGGAACCCGCCCCGACACGGGCAAGCTGCATGCATCTGTTCAGAAGTGTCTCCACTCCATGCAATAGAATCCTGACTACTTGGCAGGGACGACAATATCAAATACTTCCATGGGCTCGATGATATGAATCCCCATGCCTGGTCAAACACGACCACGGACGGAATTCCAGAGGCAGCTGTTCCTTCCAAGGAAAGTATGGTTGAGTTTCCGAAAATAGGGGGCCCCATTTTGGTACCCCAATAGTACGACCCATATTATCAGGACCCCAAAACAAGGTACCCCTAATTATCGGAAACTCCCATGTGGTTTCTCTCACGTACAAACGGGTCGGCCTATCGCCCCATATAGCAGCATTATGGACTCAGAAGACTGACACTTACACTAAACGCCAACACCTGAACTCTGTGCGGGTGCGTGGGTATCAGTAGCTAAATTAAAGTAGAATCGCGGCCTTAGCTCTAGACGCGAGCTTTGAGGAAGTGGCGTGCACTGGCGTGCGCATTACTACCACGGGAGGTCCTGCTCAGGCACCCTTGTCCTTCGCGAAAAAATAGACAGAGCCCTAGAGCCATATTCCTCAACAGGAACCCCTTAAAGGAGGTATACTATCGATCTGTCTAATTTTTGGGGGAACCCATTAGCAAGGACAACGATAGTTCAACTCCGCTTTGGCTTGATGATAGGTCCTGAGCTTGTTGCTGATGAGGTGGAGGTGTAGGTCTGTGTCCTGCAACGTCAAGCGTCTGCAGAGGAACGGGGAACGCCTACAAGGTTCTTCCTCCCTGGACCTCTACTGTAGAAGCCTAAAAATGTACCAAAATAACTATACCGATATCTACCCCTTACGATCCCTTTGTTATCATAACATGATATACCAACAACACTCTTCTATTTGTTTGGGCCACTAATTACACTACAGTGAACCTGGAACCAGTGGAGGATCCAAGCTGAGCCAGGGTTGATGTCACGCTGGAGGCGATCGTAGTAGTGCCTAGTCCGCTTGGAGCCACGGTGTAACGATGTGTTCTTACAAGCATTGCGATAGAAAAACAACACAAAACAGCGAAGCCTTCCGAAAGCCCAGATACTTAGAGTAACGGAGGATCCCCTCGCGGACGCAGTGCTGCTCGAACTCGACGTTCTTGTCAACGAAGTGCTGGGTGAGCTGCTTGTTGAAGTAGTGCCCGTCTCAGAGGCTGAGCTACTTGACGATGTGCTACTACTAGTGCTGCTTGTGCGGCTGCTTGACGTGGTGGAGGTCGAGCTGCTTGACGATTCTGCGGTACTTCTGGTCGAGGTGGCAGTGGTAGATGTCGAGCTGCTTGATGTTTGGCTGGAACTCCTCGATGTGCTGGTGGACGTTGAGCTACTTGCTGAAGTGGTAACAGTGACAGAGGATGTTGATCTGCTAGATGACGTTGTCCTGCTACTTGTTGATGTAGAACTGGCAGTAGCAGTTTCAGAAGTAGAGCTGCTTATTGATGAAGAACTTGTAGCAGTAGTTTCAGAAGTTGAGCTGCTTATTGATGAAGAACGTGTAGTAGTAGTTTCAGAAGTAGAGCTGCTTGTTGATGTTAGGCTGTTCGACGTGGTAGAAGAGCTGCTTCTCGTCCATGTTGTGCTGCTCGAGGTTGTGGAGCTCGCCGTGGAAGCGGTAGACGTCGATGTAACTGATGTATGGGTACTCGTGAACTTCCACAACACATCATCGAAACCTGAACCAGTCCATCCTCCAATCATGTAGGCCTCTGCAGAGGCAGGGTTCCACGCCGCGCAGTGCGCATCGCGAGCACCCGGTCCCGCAAGAGTCTCCTGGTAAGAAGTCTCCGTGGTGCCGAAATAATAGAACATGGTATCCACCTCGCCAGTGGTGAAGCGACCACCATAAGCCAGCAGTGAACGTGTATTTGCATCCCAAACGGCGGCCAGCTCGCGTCGCGGTGTAAAGCTGCCAAATTGCACTAGCTCCACCCAGCCCGCAGAATCCGAATAGCTCCAGATGTCATTGTAATGCTGCTCTGAAGAGCTTACGAATGGGTTGTAGACTGAAACATCTCCATGTCCACAACACATTATCATTACCTCAGAAGTTGCATCCCACACAGCCACATGCCCGCTTCGCGCATTTGGCTCAACGCCTACGGTGGGAGAGCTCCATGTGTCTGAGCCGGGATCATACTCCAACACGTCACCCAGCTTTGTCTTCGATGAGTCATCGGCTTCGCCACCATAGATGATCATGCGGTCTGAGGCCGTATCCCACACGGCTGTATGGAGCGCACGTGGAGTTGCGTGGCTCGTCAACTGCGCCCAGGAATCTGCCGCTACATCATACCCAAACAAATCACTGAAGAGCTGGCCGGTAGCGCTACTGTGAATATCACCTAGGATGCCCAGTAACCTCGGAAAAAAAAGGGCTCCCTTCTTGGTATTGGGTAACTCAATAAGAAACCTAGAGGAAAGGGTACTACTGAGCATCCTAGTCACGTGTTCCCCCAGCGAAGACATACAGTATTCCTTGGCTGACTTCTGACCCCCTCCTAAAAATTCAACTTTTAGCCTACTTATTATAGTTCGTATAGAAACCCAAAGAGTTAAAGTCCTAAGAGCCAACCAGAAGAACACCAAGATTCTTTGCGGTGTTCGCAGAACGGCCGTGTGCATGTGTCGTGCAGCTGGAGCTCCAGTACTTGACATCACAGACCAGGCGTTCGAGCTTTTGCTGTAGAAGAACCTGGTTTAGGGTTTAGGGCGCTCCCCGTAGAAATTAATTTTATCCATCTACCCTCAACCCTATCTGAGCTACAGTCAATATTTGCTACATAATCAATGGACATGGGTTCCTTATTAGGGACTATACTAAGTACTCTACTGAACCACAAGAGGGACCCCTATGTCCACCCTCAATAATATTCCCTTGGTATAGGTCATATTGACCATAGCTCATTGTAGGCTCATAGAGAAAAAGGCCCAACAGCTTTTCTAAGCAAACTTCTTGGGAACAGGGTGTTGATTTTGTTATAGCTTGGCATCGCTTCTCCGCCGAAGAGGAGGGCTCCTTCACCCACCTGCAAGGTTTGTCCAAATATTTTTTGTTCCCCAAAATTGGAGGGTGTGCAGAGATGGGGTAGGGTCCAGGGCTGAGAGTTTTTGAGGTCCTTATCAACAGGACTATCGTAATCGGGGGTGTATATTGGCCACCAAATTTTTGATCAGTCCTTTACGCGCAGACGCCCAAGAAAACCCGAAAACCTATGTCTAATACTGCTACTCAATCTGTGCCGTGCTTTTGTCGGATGTTGCGCGAACAGACAATTTGCTTATCACATGTTCCTGGTATTTTTCCTGATCTATGCACATGACAGACTGAAGGGCTTCAGCACAGGCTCCGCCTCGTCCCAGACCATAGCCGCTCGGCCGATCCCCGGCGGTGGATTGGACGGCGAGAGCGATGTCCTCACAAGGTGGTTTAGGATGGCAGGCTCAAGAAGAGAGGGGCCCCAGAGGATTTACTGGGCTGCTCTTAAGGAACTTAATACATCTGCAATGGTGGGAATTCATGGTGATTAGTACGGTTCCTATGGTCTAGTAGCTTAAACTAAATTCCCCCAAACCCTGAACCCCTAAACCCTAAACCCCTAAACCCTAAACCCCTGAACCCCTAAACCCTAAACCCAAACCCCTAAACCCTAAACCTTAAACCCCAAACCCGAACCCCTAAACCTCAAACCCTAAACCCTAAACCTTAAACCCTAAAATTTAAACCCCTAAACCCTAAACCCTAAACCTTAAACCCTAAACCCGAACCCCTAAACCCTAAACCTTAAACCCTAAACCTTAGACCCTAAACCCTAAACCCTTACGCGAGGAAAGGTGTCCATGTATTTCCCTCCGCAGCCAGGCAGAGAGCCAGAGCGACAACTGCCGCGAGGCTCGAAGGCAGCAGCACCATTCGCGACCGATGCGTCTACAAGGATGTTTAAAAAGGGTACGTCTACAAGGAATCTATAAGAGTACCATATAGGTTCTTTTAAGGGCTACTATAAGGGATCTGCGTTTAGAGGGTTTAGGGTTTAGGGTTCTGTTCAGGGCTACTATAAAGGGATCTAGAAGGGTACTATAGTATAGGGGCCTGAATGGGTTCCCTTTCAATGAAAAGTTACATGTCTATTGATTATATAGGGTTTAAGTACCCATAAACATGTAAAATGTTACCCAACTTTGATGAAGATAAAGGGTTTCTCTAAGGGTTTGTGGGCTTTTGACTCGATTAAAACTGAGCCCACTTGCTGCACAATGGAGAACATGAAGCAAACGTCCATAGTTTCTGAAACATACCTACTACCAGCAAGCACTATGCCACATCATTCAGAACATAGAATGCTTACGCACTGAAGATCTGCAAGGCTTTATCACCGCCTCGTACGAATTCGACTGTGAAGGCAACATGCTGGAAGGCAGGTGGAAAAGAGCGGGGAAGATCTCTGCAAATGAGGCAGAAGTGCTGGCGAACCCTAGGACAGACATACGGTCTATATATAGGAAATGCGGCGTAGGATGCCTAGGGCAACAGCTTCGGAATCTGTCGAATCATGTCATTGGTGACTCGGCTTGCAGTCGTACTCCTCAACTCTGAAACCCTTCAGTGCTTCGGTTTAGGGTTTAGGGTTATCTGTTCAGGCCCCCGCCATTACACCCCGCCCCGTAGATCGCATTGCCTCATACCCTAAGCTTCTGGTAGGGCCCTCAACCCCAAAACCACCCGCGAACCCCTGAACCCTAAACCCCTGGACCCTAAACTCTACCCCCCCTAAGCCCTTAACCCCTAGACCCTGAACCCCATCAGGGCTTGCACCCGACAATTCTAGCTGACACGACACGCGGAACCGAATTAGGTCGCCGATCCCGTCGTATCGGGGGAACTACAGGTTACCCTTTGGGGTTATACTGGGATTGGGATTGGGGATTAGGTTATGTAATGCTACTCATACTCTATCTGCGCTAGGTTCCCCAGTAGCTACTAAATAATGAGGGCACCCTTCTTCGTACTTTTTGGTTTCAATATGGGAGTTTCCGAAAACAGGGGACCCTAATATAATACTCTAGATAGGGGATCCTTATTGCAAGGACCCCAAAAGCAGGTACCCCGAATTTTCGGAAACTCTCATATGTGAATCCGAAAAACAAGAAGGGCAAAGGTATTACAGGGGAACCTGCTTGACGCTTCTCGGATGACAGTCCCTTCTACTCCCTGGTGCTTTAGTGGGGAACGGAATATGGAGACTATCATTGGGGATTATATAGGGACTACTATAAGGATCCATTCCCACATTCCCGACGAAGGACCAGACGGCCTTCCAGGTGTGGGGTGTTAGCGTTCTTGGGAACCCTAAAGGCTCTTAGACTTATGGGTCTTCTGGGCTTCGGCCAGGTGAACGGCTTCTTGTCCGACTCTACGAGTCTAAGTAGGAGGATTCTCTACCCTAAACCCTAAACCCCTGAACCCCCTAAACCCCCCAAACCCCAAAACCCCCACACCCTAAACCCCCAAACCCTAAACCCTAAGGGGCCAGACAGAGCCTGCAGCACATGCAGAGGCTGCCATCGTCTTGGCCTCAGCAGATCCCAGACATTTTCCGAGGCCTAACTGTACTATGACCACCCTTGGTACCCACAAATGGGGGCTTTAGGCCCTAAAGGGTTTAGGGTTTATGGTTTGCAAGGGTTAGGGTTTAGGGTTTATGGTTTAGAAGGGTTAGAGTATAGGATTTTAGGATTTAGAGGTTGAGGGCCCGGGTCTTCTCGGGGGTAGAGTGGAGGGTCTAGGTGGGTCAGCTTTTCGAGGTTGGAACATCTTCCCTAAACCCTAAACCCTAAACCCAGTGGGTTTAGACAAAGGCACCATCAGGAGATCATGTGGGTGGTTGTCAAAACTAGGGTCCCTTTTTGGGTCCCTATTATAATACGGCACCTAATATTTAAGGTACCCAAATGGGGACTATAATTTCGACAACCACCCATATGCCGGAATATGAAGGCTCCTATACGCGCCAAGGAGGCGAGACAAACCGTTCGACTGCTTCCTTGGGCACGGTTTAGGGTTTAGGGTACAGGGCTTCGGTCAAGGATTCTGGACAAGTTAGAAAGGGTAGGAAGAACTAGCAGTAGCATTGCCGCATGGTCTCTAGTTTAGGGTTTGCAGCTGTGGGATCTAGGGCCCAAAACACTCCTACCAGGGCATTCCCCGAAACCCTAGTACAATTGTCAAAGGCCCCCCCAAAAAAAGCACAAAATATCCCATATAAACCCCCTTATAATGAAGCCCATTAAGGTTGGGATATCCCTCAAAAACGCTTTTGCTTATGTGCCTTTTTGGCCCCTAATGTTAAACTCCCCATGGCACTATGGTAGCGTGGGGTTCGGGCATCCCAGCGGGCTGATACTTAATGGGGCTCTCCAAGGCAGCGCAGACTCCCAAAACGACAAACAAGTCCCGCCATCCCAAACTCAAAAACCTTCATGAATTCTATAGTATCTTATGACCTATGAATTCTATAGTATCTGATGATTGGTAAATATAGTATCTCATGATTTATGAATTCTATATAGTATCTTAAGATAGACCTTTTGGTAGATGTAATTCTTAGGCTTGTTGGACCAGCTCAGCTCCTAACCTGGCGCCTTGGCGAGCCTTCCGGTCCCAACCGTTTGTCTTGCGGACGAATACTTGGAGGTTCACGGGTAGTTATAACGGTTCCTGTAAGGGTCCCTTTAAAGGGATCTAGAGGGATTGTATAAGGGTATAGGGTGTAGGGTCTACTTACTACTTGGAGGTTCAGGGGTAGTTATAAGTAGGGTTATAAGTAAGGTAACTATGATTATAACCAATACTAGGGGACTTATAACCCCACCTATAACTACCCATGAACCTCCAAGTAATGTAGGGGCCTTAATAATCAGGAATAGGTTGGAATAAGTCTCGAGCTTGGTTATAGTGTAACTATAAGGAACCCTAAGGAACAAAGTTGTCCAGTATGTAGACCTCTATAGACCTCTATATGAACCTTGCATAAGCTCAGCTCCAGGCAGCAGTTGGCAAAGTTGTGTGCTCCAGAGCTGCCAAAGCTCCGTCATTGGCCGCTGTGTCACCAAATCGAGAGACGGGCGCCTGCTGCCATTTTTTGGGGGGTTCGGAGCCTGAGGGTCCCTCCCTTCGGTTAGGATGTCCAGGAACCTAGGAATAAAAAGGGCTCCCTGTTTGGTATATAAGGCACCTAGGACTACAAAAAGGGAATAAGAGTACTACTGGGCATCCTAATTGGGATTTAGGGCTTAGGGTCTATAAGGGGTTAAGGTTTGGGGCGTAAAATGTCAGATTTGTAGTCTCGGCTTTTGGGGTTGTGGGATGTTGTGGGGTTCAGGCTCCAAGGTTTCAGATTTAGATGCTAATGTAGGGGCCAGACTTGTTAGAATAGGGTTTCTCGGCCTATTAAACCAGACTTGTAATGAGGACCCCCCCACCCACAAAAACAAAGAAATAACACCGCTTAATTATTTAGGCCCCTGTAGTAGGCATCTTGGGTGCAGGGTTTCGTGCTCCGATTATTCCTGAGTGGTGCCAGGATTTGACAATCGCCTGCTGCCTGGCGTACTTTTTTTCGGCTAAGGGCTTGCAGCACCTGGGGATTCTTAGCCGTCTATTTGTCTGGCTGCCGGCTGGTGCGGCAAAACCCTGAACTCTCAACACCCCAAGCACCCTAAACTCATCCAAAAACTCGGGGTTGACAGTTAGGACTTTAGGGTTCGTGGCGTTCGGTCTGCCAGCGACTTTCCAAAGGTGTTGGCTAAAGCATTGAAGCGGACTTCTTTTCGTGCTGATGGAAAGAAAGGGAGGGAGAGAGAGAGAGAGAGAGAGAGAGAGAGAGAGAGAGAGAGAGAGAGAGAGAGAGGGAGGGAGGGAGGGAGGGAGGGAGGGAGGGAGGGAGGGAGAGAGAGGGAGAGAGAGGGGGAGCCCATCCCCCACACACGCATACACACTTTCGCGCTGAATGACGAACACACACGTCGTGAAAGCAGCAAACCCAAGAAGCCCGGAGCACCACGACAGGCCCAACCAGTTGAACCTAATATAGGGGAAATAGACTAGGGCTTCGGGGCCTAGTATACCAGAATAGATACGGGGATTTGGGGGATGCTAGACTGTCATTGCAAAAGAGACCACGATACACCGCATGCATTAATGTAAGGACCATATGCGAACAGTCTTACGCATTGTTCCGACCGCTGCGCCAACACAGCACCGATCGCCCCAACCCCTGTATACAAAACCTAAAACCCATATGGGAGTTTCCGAAAATAGGGGACCCCAACATAGCACCCCAAATCCTTATTATAAGGACCCCCAAAATAAGGTACCCCCGATTTTGGAAACTCCCACATACATAACCCCTAAACCCTTTATAGAAGCCCTTATAGTACCCTTATAGAACCCTTAAGGCCTTAAGGATCCCTTTAAAGGACCCCCAAATCCCCTAAACCCCAACAACAAACCCCGCAACCCGACCTGGATGAGGCCCGGGGCTAGACCGCGGTAGAACCGTGGAATGCCGCCGTCCGCATACAGAGTCTTTGCCACCTGAGTGTTGTTGGAGTTCCGGGATGAGGGTACCCATAGGCTCCAAAGTAGTTCCCTTATAGGATTCTATATACGAACCCCAAAAAGGAACTACTTTGGGGCCAAGGAGTGTTCCCAGAGACTCCAATATCCCTTAATTAAGGAATATTCCTTAAATCATATTAGGGATCCTACTATAATTTAGAGAATATTCCTTAATTAAGGGATATTGGAGTCTCTGGGTTGTTGGAGTTTCGGGATGAGGGTAGTTTAGGGCCACCTGAGTGCTGTTTTGAGCTCAGGGTTGGAGTTTAGGGTCGAGGGAGTTGGGTTTAGGC